CTCTTACGGATTTAGTTACTATACCAGATGCCAAATTTTGTAATGAAAGTACCCCATTCTCTACTCAGCTGAGTTCCTCCTCATTTCTGATATCCATACACCTGCAGTGCAGATCACAGTGACACCTGAAGAGAAGAATTCGCATGCTCTTGAGTAACTGTAATTCTCTGAAACCATGATTATGCTATAGTGAGAGCTCCAGTTGTTAAATTAATTCATTTCATGCAATGAATCCAATATTAAAATCCATAAAATATTAATAAATCAGAATTCTGCACACATTTTATTTCTATAAATCTAAAATAAAGCTTAAACCGTGTTTTATAGTGTTGGTACTGAATACAACTCTGCAAACAATGAATAAGCAATGCTGATTCAAAAAAGCAGTAAACATCTCTTGATTTGAACTGGTTTTGTTTCTTTGTTTCATGAAGGCATCTCTCAAAATAACTTCATTCTGAATGCAACTCATTAATGTGTGCTCCCCGCCCCCTGCCTTCTCAAGCCTTCACCAACTGGCTAAACATGGTGACTGGAGCTTTTCAGATTAATTTTCCTTAAGTGACCTACTTTGCAGAGAAAGATAATCATGCATTTATAGCCTCTGGCACTCTATTCAGGTCGCAGATGGACAGATAGCAAAGCTATTCCTCAGTGATTTACTGGGGTTGTAACTAATCCCCAGTGAGAAGAGAGATCAGCCTGACGTTAATTGGTCAGAATGCCTAAAAGTATGGAAGATCATTGACTCCTACTTTAATTTTCAGGGGTGTCACAGTTCGGCTGTATATAAGCCACCAGTTGTTCCAGGAGTGTTTTATGGTAGTGATCGAATTACTGGATGCTGTGGATGTTAAATACCTGACTGAATCCTTTGCCTTGGCAGTAGAGCACCATGTGGTGTTCTGACTGTGGACATATCTGATGTTACACACATACCAGATAGCATGGCTGGCACCGAGGATCGGAGATGTGGGAGAGTTTTGACCTTTTGCTCCTTAACAAGTGCTTACAATCCCATGAACTGTTGTCATTGTACCTTTCTGTGCAATCAGATCTAAACCTGTTGTGAAAGCATTTTTTGTATAGCATGATCAGTTGAGCCAATAAAACTTGTATTTTACTATTACCCACTGGAGGCCCATTCTCCCTTTTGTATTTGGCAATAATGTAGTGATTACACAAAACAGCTTATTCTCTTGTTTTCAGATGGTCAGAAGTTTCACAAGGGAAATGACCAGGCTTTATCCTCTGAGACAGTATTTTTAAGTTTGGTGGAGCTTTTCACACTGAGAAACAGGCAACAATCGAGTGTTAAGGATGCTCTTTTTTTTTGAAGGATCATCTTGAAACTTTGAGTGTACCAGGCAGTCAGTGGTGTTAATTCTGACAGGTCTGAAGAAATAACTGTTAAAAGTGCGACACTGTCAGCAAAGGGATGGATGGCTTTCAGGACAGAACAAAATATGTATGCAGGTTGAATTCTTGCACCACAGAACTACTGCAAGCGTGTATGCCTGTGTCCCCCAATATATACATACAGCTTTGCTCTTTGCACCACAGTGCAAAACTGAAAGGTGTTCTTGTAGAAGTTGCATTGCAGTTGGGATCACTTTGATCACTGATTAAGTGTTCATATTTCACATGCTTCCTGGAGCAAATAATCTCAGAACACATGAGGAAAGATTTGGGTTTGGTTAGCTATTTACAACTGTTAAGACAACCTGACAGAGCTCTGTGTGTATTTCCTATGACAGAATCTAAAGCATTGAGGGCAAAATCAATTCCTTTTAGCAAAAAGCCTTTCCGAAAGGAATTAAGTAAACAGTTTAAGAGAGAAAGTGTATGTGCAGCCCTCGTACCTAGCCTGAGGGACTGTAGTCCAGCTGTTCCACCATAAAAATTCTGGCGATGGGCTTTAGCAGTTGTTTGGGAGCCCTTTGAATTTTCCATGTGTCCTTCAGATTCTGGATTTGTGTGTCCTCTCTTCTGAGTGTTAGCCCCAGCATCTCTTCTGAGGGAGAAATCTGATTGTCTGAACTCTATGTTTCTCAGTTTTTCCTCTGGAAGTGTTAGTTCTGCAGATAAAGGCATCAATGCAGATACTCCTAATCTAGTTTAAGGACAGCCTGCTGTAGGTGTGCTGTTGTCTGGTCCTAAAACAATGAATCTAAATCCAAATAAATCCTGTTTTAACCAAAACAATTCACAAAGTATAATTTTAATTTTTTTTTTTTTTTCACTAGTTTGTCAAGAAGGTATTTGAGAAAAGTAAATCAGTGCTGCCAGGATTGATTATGGGCTATTTTAATCAAATTACCATTTTATGAAACAAAAAATGCACATCTTTGGTTCTGTGTTTGCTGGTATGATATCCATGACATGGTCGTGTTTATGTCAGAGAACGTGGAGATTTTTAAGAAGAAACAGGGTAAATCTAAATAGTTGGGAAGTCACTGTGTATTATAAGATATAAGGCTAGACTAATTTAAGTAATATGTTTCTATTTTATAGAGCCATAGTACAATATGTGGAAGATACAGTAGTAATTATTTGTAAAAAAAACAGTATATGCTACAAACAAATAACATCTGCATTACAATAGACCTGTTTATGACCACTACGTAGATGTCTTAGAGATAAAAATGTGATTGAGAAATAATACTGGTGCATTCCTATTGAAAACAACCAATTTAAAAACAACAGTCTCCAAAGAAATCTTCTAGCTTTTGAACCAGGGTAGCCATAGCCATGCTTTATATCTAATGTTGATATTCCAGTATACAAGAAATAACTTACAAGGTCCTGACTTTTCTTGGCAGGCTAGTAAGGGCAGAGGTGAAGGTGAAACACACTACAAATCCCCCTCAAATTACTACTCAGTGCTATCTGAGAGTCTGTCTTCTGGAAGCTTCATGGCTTAGACATTTACCTTGTATGACTGTGGGTATACACATTATGACATTGAAAAAAAATCCATTCACTTCCCTGTTTGCATATTAAATTAGGATATTAGGTGATCAAACAGTTCTCATCCTGTAACTGTCCTGGATACAAAGCTTTTAATCTGCTGTTTTATGTCAGTATAAATTCTTGTGTGTATATTTCTTCTGTGGTGAAAGCTAAGTAGGAAGGCACATTTTTAAACATGTATAGGTATTACACACACACCATTTGCTACTAGTCTTGCCATAACTGGACTACTAAATGGGACTACTCACTTGCATGAAATGGCTGGAATGGATATTTGTTTGCCAGATCAGAACATCAAGGAGGATTTATGAATATGATAACTAGATTTTTTATCATGTTTTTTGCAGAATTTATTGATCAACTGTGCTACTGTAAGTGAAAAGTCTGATTAGAGAAACAGAAGAGTAGACACTGTTACAGAATTTTGTTCTCCTCTTCTCTATTATGTGAGTCAGTGTTCCCAGATGAAGTAGGATCATCATTATTTTAGTTTAGTCATTTCAGATTTAAAGTTTTCAGTGAACTTCTAATTAGTTGACTAGATCATGAAATGGTGGAGCAATTGAAAGAACTCATATTCCTCTTCTGAAGGAACTTGTATTCCAGTTCAAGGGGATGAAGCAGTGTATTTGGAAGGGAACACTGGAGCTGAAAAACATTATGACTGGAGCTGAAATGGTAATGAATGTTCCTTGATGGCTTGTTGATTTTGAACACCTAAGGAGCATTTGTAGGAGTCATAATGTTTTTGAAATATGCGTTTGGTGGGATGGGCTGTGCATGTGCAGGAAGTGGAAAAAAACTCGGTAGAGAAAATGGCGGTAGAATGTTTCATTGTTTGTATGTACAAAGTTCAAATAAATCTATAAACTTATATGCAAAATAGTTTTAATTTATAAATAGTATTAATTTATAGTTTTAATTAATTAAGCATATTGAAATATATTTATTATAATAAATAATTTTATTGTAAGAATTCCTTATAATTCACCACAAACCTATATACAAAAACATTTTGTCCAGTTACAGATCTTTGATTTTCAATGATGCATTTAATAGTGAGCTAATTAGACAAGATTAATTTTTTCTGTATGTATTTTTCCATGTAGGTGTGTACCTCACATGTTATTATAATTGTACAAGTAAACATTGATGAGCTACTTGCATACTAATACACATTCACCTGATGTCTGAGACATTTTCCCCTTGCATACAGTGTGCAAAGATCTGGTCTGCGGATGATGGCAAACTAATTACCTGTGAAAATTAAAGCCCTGTGTTTGTTCAGAGAGTAACTAAATTGTAGGCAAGGTTTGTTCCTCCATAGGCTACTTCAGTAAGCCCCAACATCAGCTTCCTCTTTGCAATAAAGCAATAATATCTATACGCTGCTCAATCTTTAGTCTCTTTTCTGATATTACTGAGGAGGGGCATATTAACAGTATTATGGTGTTGAGATTCAAGATCTTTGAGTTTTCACATACATATTAAATACGGTACTTAATAAAAAAAAGTATATTTCAGGGATAGAAGGCTTGCATTAAGACAGTTGAACTGTAGTTCCAATGTAGTTCCAAAGCACTACATTAGTTTTGTTTAATCAAGTAGGTGACAAATCTTTTTCTACTATCTATTCCATGAAGTAGTAGATTAAAAAAGCACTTTCACTCAATACGTACATATTAAAATAGTGACTAATCATATACATATTCTAGAATTACATACTGCTGCTTTTGGGAAGCTAATGTGGATTTCATCATCCTTAACATTTTATTAAAAAAAATACCTTGTTGAACTGGGAGTGTAGAGGCTTTTTTCCAGTAATGATATACCTATATTTTCTGAATGTATAGTTTTGATGATTTGAGCATTCGGATTCTCATTGGACATTCAGTCGTAGGATTTTTGTATAATTCTATTCTTCCTGGATATTTTGAAAAAAAATTATAAGACATTTAAAAAATAAAAAAAAATAAAATAAAGGAAGATATTTGAGGGCTCTGACCATTTTCATTCCGTCTGTGCAGTTCGACAATCAGCAAGCACTGGGAAGCAGAACTGGCCACCCTCAAGGGTAACAACGCTAAGCTCACAGCAGCCCTGCTGGAGTCCACTGCCAACGTGAAACAATGGAAACAACAACTTGCTGCGTATCAGGAGGAAGCAGAACGTCTTCATAAGCGGGTAAGTCGAGGCAAACAGCCAGGATCCTTGAGGTGGAAGTACTGGTGACTGTATTCTCTCATTTTCAAGGAAAACAAATAAGTTTATTGTTGGGGCTTTAGGTTAATCTTTGAGACAGAAATTAATGATTAATTTAAAGCACACAGGGTTCCTCCATTGGGAAATACTTTTCTTTGTAGCAGTTCTTTTTCTGCAAAGGAAATTGTTGCAGGAAGAGTTATCTAACCTTATGACATGCTTGCCAGCTTTTGCGCTTCATTTGGTGCCATCGTATCTGTTTCAGGACCTTCTCCATAGCATTACGCTTCAGTTCCTCTTGCATTTAAACCCATGGAAACTTGACATCAAATCTGTAAGTTAAAGAAACGCTGTTGCAATTTCCACATACAATAAAGATGAACAGCTTCCTGTCATCCTCGCACTTAAAGAAATCTAAACATAGATTCAAGATCATTATATGCAATTAGAGATCTTCTCCCACTTTCACACAGAAGGGGCTGAGTCCTATTCCCTTCACTGTAAATTTTGCAAAGGTCATTTGGCAAATCAGAAATTAATGCACAGTGGGGGAAGGAATGAGTGTTTGAGGGAGGAATAAAGCATGCAAAGTTGAAGGCTGTGTTATGAAAACATGTATACAGTATTTTAATTTCTCTCCTCTTTCCACATGTAGCTCTATGTATTGAATAATCTATTCACCTTTATCTGTATAAATTTGACATCATAGCTTAGGACATATTTTTGTGCAAAGTGAAGGCAAGATTAGCACATGTATGGAGGGCAGAAATTCAGCAGGCTACATCTAACCTGGGGATGTGGAAGAGTAGCGAGAATTCCCTTGAGCTTGAGAAACCTGGGGAAACGGCAGGTTGTTGGGGCTGTCCTATACCTAGACTGACTTGCAGACAAGGATCTTGAAGTCCCAGCCAAATGATTTGGTAGGGAAGAACAACAGTTTCTGATGGACTGTAACTGTGTGTGCCATAGCTGGCTGGACAAAATGCATGAAGTGTAATTAAAACTGGTGCTTTTTGCAAATGGTGCTTTTTTCAGTTCAGGAAATTGGAAGTTGCTGACAAAACTGCTTTGCTTCAGAAATTTTCCAGTCAGGCATAAGCTTGTCATGTGTGTTTGTACAGAGAGTGACTTTCACTTTGTCATCTCATTTAAACTTCTCCTTCAGACGGGTGGGAGTTCTAAACTGTTCTCCAGGTTTGTCAATAGATAATGATAGTTATTGTTGATAAAATTATTTACATTTCAACTCTGTACTAAATTTACTATAGTGCAGACATTCAGGATTTGACGACCTGATAGGCTTTACTGTGAAGAACACATTGCTAAAATGTGGGCATAATGAGGTAGCATTCTTCCTAATAAAATGTATTAACAGCCATTTTTGCAAAGCTGAGATGATATAGTCCTTACCTAAGAAAGGAAAGTAACATGCAAGAACAGCAGCTGCATTTGCTGTAGGGAGACCCCACCAGACAAGACGAGCAAAGATCTCTTTTTCTTGACGTTACTCTCACTCTTAGTCAAATCTTATTTAAAATACGTTATTGGAAAATACAATTCATGAGTATAGGACCTTTAACATGTCACTTTGTTTTCATATGATGCTACAGTTAACAGAAGTACTAATCAAATCTTTGTAACTGCATTTATTAGTACCTGATTATTTTTCATAACCTTTGCCCAGCAAATTTCCTGCAATTATTTTGTATTTCTGAGGGAATGCAAAATCTTGTAACTTGGGATCTTCTACACTATGCTCTTGATCACCGTTTACATGCCTTTATTAAATGGTTCTGTGATCTGTGACCTCGGGGCTTGGTGACATCTCATGTAAAATATAGGAGCACTCTGTGCCTGTGTCTCTCCTGGCCTGCCTGTAAATTACGACAGGATGGTTCATCAAGAGTACTGCCCTCTGTTGGAATTGCATTTAGAACAATACAGACCTGGCTAACACAATAAATCAAACTCTCTAGGCAAAAGTACTCAATCATGTAAAAAAATTCAATCTCAATCTGTTACTCATACAGTGCAATACAAAAGCTCTTCTAACCTGCATGCTGGAAACTGATCTTTCAAATTGAGGTAGTGCCTCATTTGAAAAACAAACTGCAAGTCACATGCTTCTCTCTTACAAAGATCAAAAATGTGTTGCTGAAATGGCAGATCTGGAGACTGTTGGTTATGGTATATGTGGTAGCAAGCAGTGTTAAGTCACTGTATTGTATTATCTTTCTGTTCAGTTTATCCGTTAAGCTCAGTATAAACATGTAGCTGCAGTTGATCCAAAAAAATGTTCCTCAAACTATAATCTGTCTCACCTGAGATTATGTAGAAGTTATGTATCAAGTCTGAGGTGGTCATCTTTTTTTCTTGTAATCCATGGAGAGACAAAACCATGAAGAGAAAGTGTCCTTCTCAGTCTTTAGAAAACAGTCTAAGGTGTTGAGTTGAATTTACTTCTGTGTTTGTCCATAGGATAATCATCTACATAGTCCTATAGACATACTTTTAGTTAGATAAAATGAGCTCCATCCTTAGTTTGTGGAATCACAGAATAATGTATATTAGAGAGGAAGTTTGGAGGTTATCTCGTCTAATTCTCCACTCAAAGCAGGGCCAGCTTTGAAGTTAGATCCAACTCCAGGGCTGCATCAGGTTACACAGGGATGTGAATCGAGTGTCAAAAAATTGAGATCCCACAACCTCTCTGGGCAGCCTGTTCCAATGTTGGACTACCCTTGTCAAATTATTTTTCCTAATACCTGATCTAATTGAAATTTGCTGTGAAGCAATTTGCATATGTTGCCAGTCCAGAAAAAAAAAGTGGGGTTTGAACCAAAAGAAACTTTTGTGAAAAAAGTTGAATAGACTGGATTTTTAGAAGTACTCATAGAAGAATTTATTTTGAGGAGAAATAAAAATTTGGAAATTAATTTGCATGTTCAGTTGCAATGTAGTTGTTTGATATGGAAAAGTTGTCTGGCACAGTATCTTGCCCACTGCAGAAGAATGTGTGTAGTTATGGATGCACTGGAGGGATACACTCAGAAGATCATAATCTTGTATAAAATAGACCAGCCTCCAAAATGAAGAATGGTATGACCAACACTAGCTGCTATATTTAGTTCAATTTAATGATATATTGTGTGGTTATATATAATGTAATTGTGGTATTCACTCCTTACGTGCTTCAGATTAGTATACAGGTTTTAGTGCCTGAGTCATCTGTCTGCAAACTACAGCAGATTTATATCCTCTGTCAAGTGTAGTGTGTGAGGGGAAGTAACGCATATTGATTAGTAAACTTTGCATTTTTATTTCCATCTTTAGTTTCTTCTTTATACGAATAGTCTTATAAATAACCTTATTTACAAAAATAGTTTCCTCTTTATATTAAAAAAAAAATATTGCTAAAACTGTGTTACTAGTTGACTTCTTACGGTATCTTTTTCCACAGTTTGAACTTTGTCATGTCTTACTTATAAACATCCTTTGATTTCACATTGTATCTCATTCTTTTATCTTCTATTTTTTTCATTCACTGTGGTAAACTGGATCTTTCATCTCATGCGGTATTTGTTGTAAACTTTGCTTTTTAAGTTGTTTTTAATTATTTTAAGCCCAACATTTTTTATTCTATAACTGTTTTAAATTTGACTGAAGTAGTTTTTCTGTGTATCACATGGTTTACACTTTTTAAAATACAGAAACGAAGCTAAAATGCCCCTTTCTTTGATTTTGATTGCATTTTAAAAAACTAAATTCATTTATTATTTGCCTTTTCTGATTAAGATTTACTCATCTATCAGTTCAGGTTTTTTGTATTAACCTACATTTATGAGCTTTCTCTGAGGCCTTTATCTTCCTTCTTCCAATTTTTCTCTGCATTAATAATGCCTAGAGCTGAGACAAAACAGAATGCAGATTGAATGTGGCTTAGTACAAGGATCTCAGTAAATTAAAGTTTTGTTCTCCTTTCTGATACATTGTGAGCGTAAGCGAGAATACTCAGATACTTTGTCAGACATTATATTTTTCAGGAGTTTGTTAAATGAGTGTATGGATTTTTCTCTCTCAAATACAAAGATATAGTAATTTTGGGAAGATGTGATGCCCACTCAAGAGCTTAACTTGGAGCTCTCAGCCTTCTCTCCTCTGATCTGCTCAGAAGCAACTTAACATCAAGGATTTCCCTTAGACAGGGCTGGGGAGCACTCCTACACATCTTACATAGCTTTCTGAAGCCAGAAGGGATTCCTGAGTTTAGAATAGCTCAGTAACAGAAAGAAAAACCCTGAAGTGAGGTACTTCAGACAAATAGAATAGCATTAGTACTAACATTAATCTTGAAACCGCAAAAAGGAAAGGATTGAATGGTGATATGAATTATAGAAAGTAACCAGAAGTTCTGTCTTTGTCACGTTAAAAATGAAAATGATGAATTTTTTTTTCTTGCATGCTAAAGTAAATCATCCTACGACACTGGGCAGTAGCACAGAGTAATAACACCAGTGCATAGTAATAAGAGCTGCACTCATTGAAAACCATTCATCTGCAGGAAAGGATAGCTAAAATGAATAAAGATGAAGGGAAATGATCAAGCTCTTGGGTATTCCTGAAAGAACAGAGAGGTAAACTCTTGAAATCCAGCTTGTTATTTTGCCAGAATTTCTGATAAAATTAGCCTATTATGTTCTGATTCTTTTATTCAGTGAATGAAATAAGTATGAGCACATCTTATGTAGTCGTCAAAACCACCTGACAAATAACAGACCCTGATTTCACTACTGTTAAAAGAAATTTTAAAGTGGATAATAAAAAAATGCATGAGCATACAGAAATAAAACCATGGTCATTTTATTGGAGTATTTCTGTGCTGCTTAAAACAACAGCCTATAAAAGCAGTTACTAAAGTCCACAAGAAGTATGGAACACTATGCAAGCCATCTGCTCAGATTATCTATAGAAAATCTTTGCAG